CGGCGGGTGGGCGGGGGACGGGTGTGGCCGGCGAAGAGTAGGATACGTCAGGGTCAGGGGGAGGGGGGAAGGGGGGGCGGAGGCAGGGGGCGGGCCGGGGGGGGGGTCGGGGGGTGAATAGGAGGGGGGGGGGCAGTGCGTGGGGGGTGGGGGGGGGGGGGGGGGAGGGGGGGGGGGTGAGGGGGGGGGATTCTTCCGCTTTATCCGTTGCCGGGTCGCGGGGGCAGCAGTCTAAGCAGAGACGCCCAGACTTCCCTATCCACACACACCTCCTCAAGCTCGTCCGGGGGGACCCCTAGGCGTTCCCAGGCCAGCTGAGAGACATAGTCTCTCCAGCGTGTCCTGGGTCTTCCCCGGGGCCTCCTCCCGGTGGGACGTGCCCGGAACACCTCCCCAGGGAGGCGTCCAGGAGGCATCCGGAACAGATGCCCGAGCCACCTCAACTGGTTCCTCTCGACGTGGAGAAGCAGCGGCTCTACTCCGAGCTCCTCCCGTGTGACCGAGCTCCTCACCCTATCTCTAAGGGAGCGCCCAGCCACTCTGCGGAGGAAGCTCATTTCGACCGCTTGTATCCGCAATCTCGTTCTTTCGGTCATTACCCACAGCTCATGACCATAGGTGAGGGAGGGAACGAAGATTGACCGGTAAATTGAGAGCTTTGCCTTTCGGCTCAGCTCCCTCTTTACCACAACGGTCCGATACAGAGACCGCATCACTGCGCACGCTGCACCGATCCGCCTGTCAATCTCACGCTCCATCCTCCCCTCACTCGTGAACAAGACCCCGAGATACTTGAACTCCTCCACTTGAGGAAGGACCTCTCCACCCACCTGGAGAGGGCAAGGCACCTTTTTCCGGTCAAGCACCATGGCCTCGGATTTGGAGGTGCTGATTCTCATCCCAGCCGCTTCACACTCGGCTGCAAACCGTCCCAGTGCATGTTGCAGGTCCTGGTTCGTTGGAGCCAGCAGGACGACATCATCCGCAAAAAGTAGAGATGAAATCCTGTGGTTCCCGAACCGGACCCCCTCCGGCCCCTGGCTGCGCCTAGAGATTCTGTCCATAAATACAGTGAACAGAACCGGTGACAAAGGGCAGCCTTGGCGGAGGCCAACATGCACCGGGAACAGGTCTGACTTACTGCCAGCAATGCGAACACAGCTCTGGCTCCGGTCATACAGGGACCGAACAGCCCTCAGCAGAGGACCCCGGACCCCGTACTCCCGGAGGACCCCCCAAAGGACACCCCGGGGAACGCGGTCGAACGCCTTCTCCAAATCCACAAAGCACATGTGGACAGGTTGGGCGAACTCCCATGAACCCTCGAGTATCCGATGGAGAGTATAGAGCTGGTCCAGTGTTCCGCGACCGGGACGAAAACCACACTGCTCCTCCTGAATCCGAGATTCGACCATCGGACGAAGCCTCCTCTCCAGTACCTTGGAGTAGACCTTACCGGGGAGGCTGAGGAGTGTGATCCCACGATAATTGGAACACACCCTCCGGTCCCCCTTCTTGTAGAGAGGGACCACCACCCCGGTCTGCCACTCCATTGGCACCGCCCCCGATCGCCACGCGATGTTGCAGAGACGTGTCAGCCAAGACAGTCCTACAACATCCAGAGACTTTAGATAGTCAGGACGGATCTCATCCACTCCCGGCGCCTTGCCACCATGGAGGCTGCCAACCACCTTGGTGACCTCGGCCAGGGAGATGGAAGTATCCGCCCCAACATCCTCAGCCTCTGCCTCCTGGACGGGGGACGTGACGGGGGGATTGAGGAGAACCTCGAAGTATTCCTTCCACCGCCCGACAATATCCCCAGTCGAGGTCAGCAGCCCTCCACCCGCACCATACACGGTGTTGGCAAAGAACTGCTTCCCCCTCCTGAGGCGCCGGACGGTTTGCCAGAACCTCTTCGAGGCCGACCGATAGTCATGCTCCATGGACTCTCCGAACTCCTCCCAGTCCCGGGTTTTTGCCTCTGCAACAGCCCGGGCCGCGGCACGTTTGGCCTGCCGGTACTGGACAGCTGCCTCAGGAGTCCCACGAACCATCATTGCTCGATAGGACTCCTTCTTCAGCCTGACGGCATCCCTTACTGCCGGTGTCCACCACCGGGTTCGGGGATTGCCGCCGGGACCAGCACCAGAGACCTTGCGACCACAGCTACGAGCCGCCGCATTGGCGATAGAGGAAGAGAACATGGTCCACTCGGACTCGATGTCCCCCTCCTCTGCCGGGACCTGGGAGAAGCTCTCCCGGAGGTGTGAGTTGAAAGTCCGTCTGACAGGGGGCTCAGCGAGACGTTCCCAGCAAACCCTCACTACACGCTTGGGCCTGCCAGGTCTGACCGGCCTCCTGCCCTGCCAGCGGATCCAACTCACGACCAGGTGATGATCGGTTGACAGCTCCGCCCCTCTCTTCACCCGAGTGTCCGAGACACGCGGTCGAAGGTCAGATGATACGACTACAAAGTCGATCATCGACCTCCGGCCTAGGGTGTCCTGGTGCCACGTGCACTGATGGACACCCTTGTGCTCGAACATGGTGTTCGTGATGGACAGGCCGTGACTGGCACAGAAGTCCAACAACTGAACACCGCTCGGGTTCAGATCAGGGGGGCCGCTCTTCCCGATCACCCCTCTCCAAGTGTCACTGGCATTTCCCACATGGGCGTTGAAGTCCCCCAGGAGAATAACGGAGTCCCCGGGCGGTGCACTGTCCAGTACCCCTCCCAAGGACTCCAAGAAGGCCGGGTACTCTGCACTACCGTTAGGCCCGTAGGCCGTCACAACAGTGAGAGACTTGTCCCCCACCCGGAGGCGGAGGGACGCGACCCTCTCATTCACCGGGGAGAACTCCAACACGTGGCGGCTGAGATGGGGGGCAATGAGTATGGCCACCCCAGCTCGCCGCCTCTCCCCGCGGGAAACACCAGAAAAGTGGAGCGTCCAACCCCTCTCAAGGAGTTGGGTTCCAGAGCCCAAGCTGTGTGTGGAGGTGAGGCCGACTATCTCTAGTCGGTATCGCTCAACCTCCCCCACAAGCTCGGGCTCCTTCCCCCCCAGTGAGGTGACGTTCCACGTCCCAAGAGCCAGATGTTGGGTGTGTGGACTGGGTCGTCGAGGTCTCCGCCTTCGACTGCTGCCCAGTCCTCTCTGCACCTCGCCACCACGGACCCCTCTGCAGGTGGTGAGCCCACAGGAGGGACTGCCCACGTCATCCCTTCGGGCTGAGCCCGGCCGGGCCCCGTGGGCTAAGGCCCGGCCACCAGGCGCTCGCTTGCGAGCCCCGACCCCAGGCCTGGCTCCAGGGTGGGGCCCCGGCTGCGCCATGCCGGGCGACGTCACGGTTTTTGTTGTCGTGCTGTCCATGGTTGGCTTCGGACTGCGCTTCGTCTGACTCGTCACTTGAGACCTGTCTGCCATGGGAGACCCTACCAGGGGCATGAAGCCCCAGACAGCATAGCTCCCAGGATCATCCGAGTGCTCAAACTCCCCCACCACGTTAAGGTGGCAGTCCAAGGGGGGAGTATTGTATTTGGATAATGGGTCCTAAATAGTGAGGCCTTTTGAATGGGGCCCTTTGAGGCGGTTTTCCTGCCAAGGATTTGGACATGTGGCCGCTGTCTGCAGAGGAACTAAAAGATGTGGTAATAATAATGCAACGGTTTTATATAGCGCTTTTTCGGACACTCTAAGACGCTTTACATGTCATTATACATTCACTCCATTCACGGTGGTGAAAAACTACTACTGTAGCCATAGCTGCCCTGGGGCACACTGACAGAAGTGATGCAACCAGTATGCGCCATCAGCCCCTCCGACCACCACCAACCATTCCCACACACACCAGACTCATTCTAGGCAATGGGGGTGAAGTGTCTTGCCTAAGGACACAACAGCAGTTTGGCACTTTACAGCCGCAGTCGCCCCACTGTGGCTGCTGTTCCCAGAGGTTAAGTGTCTTGCCAAGGACACAACGACAGCAGGAGTTGATGGTGAAAGTCTTGAGGTGGGCTTAAAGGCCAATGCTCTACCAACTGAGCCACTGTCGCCTCGAACATGAATAATTACTCTACTTGTATCTGATACTGTATAATATATTTGTACAAATACAAATGACTAATTCTCACATTCAAAATCGCAAGGTCCAAAGGCTTCCCAGAATTGGCTTTAGGAAACCTAAAAAAACTTAAACCCAGAGTGTCCTGTTTCACAAGAAATACCTTTTACACAACACCATCGAGCCATATTTTTGGAAAAAATGATTTAAAATAGAAATAGCACATATGATGGTTACTGGGGAGATTGTGAACCCATGCGTGATGTAGAAAGCCATACAAGGTCTAATGTGTGCCCATGTATGTGTGTGGGGCCAGTGACTTTTTGTGACAGATCGCCTCAGCCAAGGTGTGTGTGTGTGTTCATGTAAATGTGACGTGTGTACGATCCAGTCGTAGCCATTCAGAATAATCTCATCTTTGACCGATGACAATAACTCTTATGTTTACAACGTTTTATTTAGTCTCCATTACATTTATGCGTCTCCATAAATGTACTGGAGACGCATAAATGTAATGGGGAGGCATAAATGTAATGCGTCTCCATTACATTCATTGAGCCACTCATTGAGCTTCTGACGCCTCAAACGCCTTCTGTTTTAAATTACAGATGGATTTATCTGCAGCCACAGTCTCCCGCTACCAACAAAGAACATTACTCAAGCAATTCAAACATTTTAAATCCAATCCAAACACTTTATTTCCCTTGGACACAACAAATAATGATTATTTATCTGATATATTCTTTTACAAAATAAAAGCTGTGATAAACACTGAAAGCACAAAGCTAGAGAGAGGTGTGTTGGAGGGAAGTTTAAAAGCACTTAACAATATTCTTTCTCGGTCTGTGTCTTTGTTTTCTGAGGATCTTGAGATCAAATAAAATCATGTCTTCGGGGTAAAGCTCAGGTACCTAACTTTCAAACCACACACTTTAAACAGCAATAACTCGGGTCTCGCACTCTCGGGTCTCGCACTCTCGGGTCTCGCACTCTCGGGTCTCGCACTCTCGGGTCTCGCACTCTCGGGTCTCGCACTCTCGGGTCTCGCACTCTCGGGTCTCGCACTCTCGGGTCTCGCACTCTCGGGTCTCGCACTCTCGGGTCTCGCACTCTCGGGTCTCGCACTCTCGGGTCTCGCACTCTCGGGTCTCGCACTCTCGGGTCTCGCACTCTCGGGTCTCGCACTCTCGGGTCTCGCACTCTCGGGTCTCGCACTCTCGGGTCTCGCACTCTCGGGTCTCGCACTCTCGGGTCTCGCACTCTCGGGTCTCGCACTCTCGGGTCTCGCACTCTCGGGTCTCGCACTCTCGGGTCTCGCACTCTCGGGTCTCGCACTCTCGGGTCTCGCACTCTCGGGTCTCGCACTCTCGGGTCTCGCACTCTCGGGTCTCGCACTCTCGGGTCTCGCACTCTCGGGTCTCGCACTCTCGGGTCTCGCACTCTCTCTGGACCACCCTCACTCAGCCTATCTGCCCTCAGCCCAAACAGTCAAAAGATGACTCACAGGGCTCACGTTTGCTCACGATAACATCATGTAATGAGATGAACACAGCAGGTTGTGATCTTTCTATTGAACAAACTAGATGTGGGATTTGTAAAGCAGAAAAGTCAAGTACCCCAGCTTTAAACAGCCACAGTCCTCCTCCCAGTGGCTTCAGGCTGATTCCTGTATCGTCCCATGCAGTGCGGTCTTTGCGTTGGGATGGAGCACATTTAGGACCAAAGAGCATGTGAGAGTCAGAGACAGAAGAGCCTCTGGTTGTCTCCCGCCTCGTCGCCTTCGCCCGGAGGGATTCTGGGTAAGAGGGCGGAGCGCGTCAGGCCCCAGAACCGCGTTGGGGATAAGTCTTTCTTTGTGGCGGTGAACTTCCAGCCCATGTGAGAACCACAGGAACGACACTGCGCGATGGTCCACGCATAACTGCACAAACCAGACACACACGCAACAAGTTTTGTTAGGGACTACACTTTGTAGATGAACTATCATCTTAAACTACTCAGACTTTTAAGAGGCAAAAAATATGGTAATTTGAGCAAATAATTGAGAAGAGAGAAGATAAACATGAGGAAACAGGCCCTGAGGAAACAGCAGTCTGTTTGAGCCCAGAGCGAGAGGTTAGTGCCGCTGCAAAGTCAAGCTACCTGAGTGCTAACAACTTAGCATTAGCATGGTGTGTAGGACAGTGTGGTCCTGCGCTCTCAGCCTGGTACCGATGGTAAAGGCAGGTGTTGTGACAAAGCCGCAAATGGAGGTGATGATTTTTGGACATTTGACTGTATTTCACACAGAGCCACTGCTGCAGTCGTTAAGAATGGATCATGTTATGGAAGTTGTTTTGTTCATTTCAACAGAATTACGGTCAGTTTGATGCTTTCTCTGTGACAATAACATAACCATGGACTTCCTTACCATACCGTTGTGAGCAAGTTTTCTCTGTAAGAAACTTTAATAAAACCAATCTGCACTCAAAGCTAACACACAAATATTAGTATAAATATTGTCATATGCCATTTACAACGCACTATTGTAAATACTTACATTATTTGCATTATAAAAAGCTCACTGGTACATTCAAGTTAGTAACAGACTTACACCAAACGTGAATCGGTTAAACACCTTTTGAATCGAGGTCAGCTGAAAGTGATTTTTTGTATTTTTTTTGCAGTGTTAGCGCCCCTACAGAGTGATCCAAAGAATTATATGTACAATTTGCCAAACCAGCCTCAACCGTTCTCAACAGGGCCCAAATTCGCTCTACACTGTAAACAAGTGTAGCATCAAAAGTTAGCGGTAACATTTTTATCAGTTAAATGGTGTGCGTGTGACAGACTCGTGTTTTTGAAAATTCACATTTTATTCAATGGAGACACACACTCACTGATCATATATTATTACCATTGCAATTTACAATGTTTCTCCCATCAGGGCTGTGTGAAGATGGCGCGTCAGCGCCACCTCCTTTAAACGATGTGGCGAGGGCCATTCAACGCCGCTTGCAGCTGTAATTTCTCTTTTCTGTTTGTTTTATCTTGTTCAAGTCTCTTCATTCCTTCGGTCCTGTAACGTCCACAGTGACGAATATAGATCAAATCCTCTCATATTCCGGATCATGGACAACTCAGGTTTCTGCTGATTCAGATCCTGATTGTGGTTCAGTGTCTGAATCTGACCCGTGTCTCCTCTTCCTGCTGCTGCTGCGGCCCCTGACGACTTCATCTGGACCAGACTCAGAACAGTTCAGAGCAACACAAGGAGATCGTACAAACAACAGACTTCAACAGTTTGTGAAATGTGTTTAAAACTTTTCTCTGCTTTGAACATCACCACAGAGCTATTTGCCCAAAAAAGTGTTTGAATTGATTCCCACTGTGTAGCTTTTACTCCCATCATAGTGCAGTCTAACTTTCACCAGTGCGCAGCATCCGCATCAACAGGTAAGAGAACAGAACATTACGGTTGATAAATAGTATTCGGGCGATTGTTACTGTCGGTGTGAAGACAGTTGTGTGCGTCTGTTGTGTACAAACTACACAATGCGCCTCCCATTGTTCTAACTCGGTCTTTGCCTTTGCCTTTGTGATGCCTTTGTGAGGTTTGCGATGTTGACACCAGACTTTAAGTATTAACGGACGTAGTCATGAATATCTCCGCCGTTCTAACAAATGGGTCAAAAAATTTGCTCTACTGGAGCTATCCAAAATGGCCGCGAGTGGTCCCAACCACAAGAAAATTGTGAAAAAACGCCTCTGCGCATGCGTCAGCCGGCGCAGCTCTATTCATTTGAACGAGAGACTTCAAAAATTCACAGCAAGTAAACTAGAGTGGTCCAAAAAAATTCACTCCCCTCAGCATTGACACACATGTGGAACGGAGCTTTGGGCCAAGAGCCAACTTTTGGACCATCCTGTAAAGACGTTTTTGAGAGATCTGCCCCATCGGCCCGGGGTGGTATTGCAAGCATGTCAGCGCACGTCATTTTGGCCACTTTTGAGCCGGGACCCGGCCCCATTGGTTGACACGTTTCCTGAAATGACTGATTCCTAGACTTTTGCAAAATTCATTTTCTAAATGATTCTACTTCAAGTAGTTATTTAAAGTAAGTAAGTAAGTAAGTAATCTTTATTCATATAGCGCCTTTCATAGACCAGAGTCACAAAGCACTTTACAATTGTTGTGGGCATTTGTCCACGCATGCCTAACTACGTAACTGTGGTCATCCATGATCCCTTTTTCAAACTTTACAGGTGCTATCAGTAGCACCTGTGAAATTAAAACGCAATTCTTGCATCCTTTTTGTCCCTTATCCACCAATGTACATTTCAAGATGGCGCATTGGCAAGGAGAGTTTTCCAGCTCTCATGAACATTTATAGGTCAAAGTCCAAGTCTATTACAACAATTTAAAAACATGGTGGAGGTTAATATTCTTTAAAATGTCACGTTTGTTATTTGTGTTTTTTTCATTTGGAGCATCTACAAGTACAGTGCTACCAACTCTGTATTCTACAGTAAACCGAATAATTAGGGTCCATTTCTGGATCGAGGACATAGTGTTCTATGTGACAAATCATTGAAGGAAAAAGTTTATTCTTAGGTCTAAAATGACTTTGCACTAGTGTCCCAGACTGTGTGTCTACCTACAAGTCTGATTCCATGTGTTTTTCTTTGTGTGTGTGTGTATATGTTGGAGTCTGTGTGTGTGTGTGTGTTAGTGTGTGTGCGTTTTACTGTATGTGTGTGTGTGCCTGTGTGTGTGTCTCACCCTGGAAACCAGCTGTGCAGTGTAGAAGCGCGTCCCACCAGACTCAGGTTGTTGGTTTTATAAACAGTCAGCGTTTCGTGGACGTAACCGTGAGGATTGACGTATGCCGCCATCGGTCCACACAACGACAAACTACCAGAACACACACACAAACATCATTACCATACCTCAAACATGTGCATGTGTGTAGTCTTAATCATTTGTTGTTTTGTTCATTTAAAACATGCACAAGATAAACACAAAACTCGAGTAGAGACTTTGTTTTTTCTTTCCCTATTTAGAATTCAATTTTTTTATTAAAAATATAATCAAACTTTGAATTTCTTATGTGTAAATGTTATTCTGCCACAATCTCACGGTCTAATATTACAGAAGAATAGTACAGACTTCTTTGACCAATGAATGATGATAATAATAATAATGCATTGCTTTTATACTGCGCTTTAGACACTCAAAGACGCTTCACATGTCATTATTCTTTCACTCCATACACGGTGGTGATAAACTACTACTGTAGCCACAGCTGCCCTGGGGCACACTGACAGAAGTGAGGCAACCAGTATGTCCCTTTGGCCCCTCCCACCACCACCAACCATTCACACACACCAGACTTATTCTAGTGTGGGTAAAGTTTCTTGCCTAAGGACACAACAGCAGTTTGGCACGTTACAGCCGGTTCAAAGGCCAATGCTCTACAAACTGAGCCACTGAACCCCCAAATAATGTCACTGTCCTCAGACCCACGTGTCTCTCACCTGAAAATCTCAGTCTTTGTGGTGATTTCTGTGTCCTGGCATTGCTTGCAGCAGAGAGAAGTGCACTGGGAAAAACAAACTATGGTTATTGTGAGATAAATCCCTAAGATATAGGTCCACATACATCACATATACTGTATCTTAATTCAATACAAATATATATTCATCCTCACATTTGTCAGTGTAATTATCCAGTCACATTAATATGCCCCTGGCACGTCGCAAAGTTCCCCATTGAACCATTGTGATGTAGAATATGTGTTTACATTGTGATATAGCCTTTGTAAATTCAGATATGAGCCATATAAAAACTGACCAATCAGAGGCCTTCATTCGTGAGGGAAACTCTACACCAAGCTGGGGAAGGAGGAGGACACATTGGTCTCTGCCTGTTAGGGACAAATGTCTGTCGGTGTTTGTTATATTAAAAAACGATTGAATTTAATTGAAAGTTGGTGTTTTAAAGCAGAATCATGTAGCAGAACCTAAAACCATCTCCATACTAAACTTGCGTCACTAATAATAAATCGTATGTTTCTCACTCTGGAATCCGTCTCTGGGGAACACCACACTTTCAAGTCTGGAGCTAAACGCACTTTTGTTTAAAGAACTTCTCTATTCATCTTGTGGATATAAATACGTTCCGAACCAGAGCACAGAGGCACGCTCCTCCTGCTGCTCTGTTGGCAAAATAAAACATGAATGATCCAAGCAAACAGCGCAGACACAGACCAGGCCCCTGTGCTGGGACCACTACTGCAGAGGGCTGAGGGAGGCGGGTTTATCTATATAGCACTGACCCCTCTTCTCTGTCCTCTCCCCTCCTCTGTCCTCTCTCCTCTCCTCTGACCTCTTCTCCGTATTTTCTCTTCTCCTCCTCTCCTGACCTCTCTCCACTCCTCTGACCTCTCTCCTCTCCTCTCTCCTCCGACCTCTCTCCTCCGACCTCTCTCCTCCGACCTCTCTCCTCCGACCTCTCTCCTCCGACCTCTCTCCTCCGACCTCTCTCCTCCGACCTCTCTCCTCCGACCTCTCTCCTCCGACCTCTCTCCTCCGACCCCTCTCCTCCGACCCCTCTCCTCCGACCTCTCTCCTCCGACCTCTCTCCTCCGACCTCTCTCCTCCGACCTCTCTCCTCTGACCTCTCTCCTCTGACCTCTCTCCTCTGACCTCTCTCCTCTGACCTCACCCGGTCCATGATGTCCAGTTCACAGCGCAGCCTCTGGATGGCACTGCCGATCTTCAGCAGCTGCAGTCGGAGAGCGTCGTCGATGGGAAGACAAGCGGCCACTCTGTACGAAAAATCTGAGAGAAAGGCCTTTGTGAGAAACAGGAAGTGACGAACAAGGGCGGGACTTATGAGTATGGTGCAAACACGTTATAAAACAAGTTAGAAAGAGCAGCATGAGCCAAACTGAGGGTTTGAGGAGCTTCACTCTTCTTACACAGCTCCACGGCTCGTTTTGTTGTCATTACGTAGTTGTAAAACCTTCACCTGAGACAGTGTGGCTGCAGGTTTTTATTCCAACCAGGCAGGAGCACACCACACTCCACAGAGAAAGGCAAGCAAAAGAGAGACCAGAGAAAGACACCAGAGAGACCAAAATGAGAGACCAGAGAGAGAGACCAGAGAGACAAAAGACAGTTGCAATGTTCTGTGCAGACCTATGGCGTTAGAGGGCAGAGACTCATCCTTCAGGTTCTCGTCCCACTCATGGAGCTGCTTCTTGACTCGGTTCATGAGTGACTCCTGTTTCACACAAACACAGAGAAAGTGATTTAAACTGGTTTACTCTGGTCTTCTCTCGTGTGCAGCCGTATTTACTCACCGCATCGTACAGGGCATACACCCAAGGCGGCCAGGGCGTCACACGGGCACAGCTGAACTTCCTCTGTGCGACATCACCAAACAATTCACAGCATCAGAACATCACTCAGGAAAATTTGTAGAATAAAGAGGACAGAGCATGGAGAATGAGAGGATGAACTGGAGATGGGCAATAAATCTATATGAAGTATGAAAGATGGCATAATGGCAATCAGAATTAACAGCAGTGGTTTGTATGAAGGCTTTGAAATGTTTTTCAAGATAAAAAGTGACACCGAAAAGAGAAGCTAGAGCTGCGTAATCACCACATGTTGTAGACGAGGAGACACCTGATGATGTGACCGTCTCTGATCAGCTGTTGTGTTGGGTCTAACAGACCACACCCCCTCAAACTGACCATGCCCCCTTGTGGACTCTGGAGAAGCGAGTCCCAAGTGTGAGCTAAGGTGAAGGCCCCCTGGTCTCTGTTGATGGTCCGTGTCCCCACTTCCTGATTTCGATCTTCTCTTCTTATGTTCATCTGTCCTTACTATTTTTGCATTGTCCGAGTCTGAAGGGGCCTGGTCAGAGTCTGAAGGGGCACGGCCAGTTGTAAGGGGCGTGGTCCGAGTCTGATGGAGCTTACTTTTGACATTTGGTTTGCATAAAGTTTTGTCTCATGCTCTTCGCATTCTGTCATTGAGAACAGTCCACAAAGGGAGGATTCAAAACTCAGATTTGTCAGAAAAACGTAATTAATTTAGTTGAAGGTACAATCACCCGTGCCTTCTTTGATTAAACATCAGCCTTCAGTATCGTAATTGTCCAAACATATACACAACATAATTTTACTCTAGTATGTTCTTCCGGAGGGTCACAATATCTGCAACTGCGTTGCAGTGTCTTCATGTTTATGCATGATCTCAACATTGAGCTACAATGTGAGAGTCGATGTTGCATGTTCTTCCCGTGGACCAGGGTGAGGTTTAGAGAGGTTTGATCATGTGTCTGACCTGCTTGTACCGGCTCCACCACTTCTGCGCCTCCTTCCGGCTCTGCGTGGGGGGTCTGGAGGAGGGGTGGGGGTGCAGCTTGGACAGTGCACTGAGGTGTACAGACGACAGGGCATCAGGAAGGACTCTCTCCGGCAGGATCTGGACTTTAGCCAGTCTGATGCTAACACAAGACACAGGAATCCACTGTCACTTTACCTGCTGCTATTGTTACTAATGTTAATTCTGGTCATATTCTCTGCTGCTAAAGTACAATATAAACATCTGTAAATACCTCCTGCTGACTACAATGTATACTCGACAAGTGACATCACAGCTCCAGACTTCATTATCTTATCATTGCATTTTCTATCTTAAATAAAAGATCATTGTATCCTTTTATTCTGCTGAAATGTGCAACTATGTCATTGAAATTTTCACTGAGGGGTGAATAATTATAATAATAATAATAATAATCTTACAAAAGGAACCACTCCTCTTCCTCCTCAAAGCACTGTTGATAAATGTTGGATTAAAGCACATTTGGTCACCAGAGAGAGGCCAGAGAGAAAGAGAGAGAGAGACCAGTGGGTGAGGGTTAAGATACACTAACTAGCACTTATTAGCTGTTAATTAGGGCAGATCTAAAGCGTTTCTCCATAGCTTTAAATTATTTCTTCCCTTCTTTCAGACCAAAGGATTCTGCATCAACAGTAACTGCCCTAAGAGTGATGTCACACGCAGAGACACGCAGCAGGTTCTGGCTCTGACAGCTGCTTGTAAAACTAAATGTTCTGTTGTCTGCTGTTAACAGAGCTATGGAAGGTCAGACTTCTCAGAGATCCTTTATTTGTCCCACAGTGGGGAAATGTCAGTGTTGCATCACCAGTTACAGTAGGAATGAGGAGCACACAGCACAAGATAAATGAGCAATAACTCCATACTAAAATAAAAAAATCATCTCTAACTTTAGCATGAAAAGAAGCATCTATAAAATCTAAAACTTTTGATTTTTAATGTTTAAAAGTTAGGTCCCCCAGCTTTAAATGTCCTTAAATATAAACCATGCTCCTCTGTAGATCCACAGAGGTAATTCCCCCGTCTCTAAATCTGTCTCAGAGTCTGACACACGCTGGTCCTGTCTGAGATGGTCTGGTTCTAACTCATTGACTGCCATGGACGTCTTTGTCTGAGACTGGAGATTTTTCTCACGCTTCCCTCTATTTGACTGGGGATTACAGGAGGACAAAACTATCTGTTAAAACAATTTCTTTCTATCTCTTTCTGACAGTCCAGTCTTTCAGAATGGTTTCATATTTCACATAGTCTTAGCACACAATATTCTGTGGGTCTTGAAAATCAGTTAAATCATCAAAAACGGCTGGCAGTCAATGAGTCAAACACTTTGGTCTGTATATGAGGTCGCCGTGGGCCTCCATCTTATCACATGTAAATATCTAATGCCATAAACGCCACAGTGACACCGCAGGTCAACAGGATAATGGCAGTAATGCTTATGCAACAGAGACTTGTGAATGAGGGGAATAAGTCTTTATCAGTGCTGTGTTTTATGGACCATGGTTCTCAGAGGTAATGCAGGAAATGGACACTATGATGCATTAGACACAATCAGTTATGAGGAGGCTCCAAAGAAACTGGCTGACCTCAGGCCGGAGTTAAACCGGCACCTATGAGAGACAGTGGGGCAGGATACCAGCAACAGTGTGGAAACCATGTGAGGACTTTCAGATCCGACTTCAAACAAAGGTTATTATAACAAAGTATTGAGACTGATTTGATTGATTATTGACTCTCTCTCTCTCTGGTCGCTCTCTCTCTCTGGTCGCTCTCTCTCTCTGGTCGCTCTCTCTCTCTGGTCGCTCTCTCTCTCTCTCTCTGGTCGCTCTCTCTCTCTCTCTCTCTGGTCGCTCTCTCTCTCTCTCTCTCTGGTCGCTCTCTCTCTCTCTCTGGTCGCTCTCTCTCTCTCTCTGGTCGCTCCCTCTCTCTCTCTGGTCGCTCGCTCTCTCTCTCTCTGGTCGCTCGCTCTCTCTCTCTCTGGTCGCTCTCTCTCTCTCTCTCTGGTCGCTCTCTCTCTCTCTCTGGTCGCTCTCTCTCTCTCTCTGGTCGCTCTCTCTCTCTCTCTCTGGTCGCTCTCTCTCTCTGGTCTCTCTCTCTCTGGTCTCTGGTCGCTCTCTGGTCGCTCTCTGGTCGCTCTCTCTGGTCGCTCTCTCTGGTTGCTCTCTCTGGTTGCTCTCTCTGGTCGCTCTCTCTCTCTGGTCGCTCTCTCTCTCTGGTCGCTCTCTCTCTCTGGTCGCTCTCTCTCTCTGGTTGCTCTCTCTCTCTGGTCGCTCTCTCTCTCTGGTCGCTCTCTCTCTCTCTGGTCGCTCTCTCTCTGGTCGCTTTCTCTCTCTCTGGTCGCTCTCTCTCTGGTCGCTCTCTCTCTGGTCGCTCTCTCTCTCTCTCTCTGGTCGCTCTCTCTCTCTCTCTGGTCGGTCTCTCTCTCTCTCTGGTCGGTCTCTCTCTCTCTCTCTCTGGTCGGTCACTCTCTCTCTGGTCAGTCTCTCTCTCTCTCTGGTCGGTCTCTCTCTGGTCGGTCACTCTCTCTGGTCGGTCTCTCTCTCTCTCTGGTCGGTCTCTCTCTCTCTCTGGTCGGTCTCTCTCTCTCTCTGGTCGGTCTCTCTCTCTCTCTGGTCGGTCTCTCTCTGGTCGGTCTCTCTCTCTCTCTGGTCTCTCTCTCTCTCTCTGGTCGTCCTCTCTCTCTCTCTCTGGTCGCTCTCTCTCTCTCTGGTCGCTCTCTCTCTCTCTGGTCGCTCTCTCTCTCTCTGGTCGCTCTCTCTCTGGTCGTCTCTCTCTGGTCGCTCTCTCTCTGGTCGCTCTCTCTGGTCGCTCTCTCTCTCTCTCTGGTCTCTCTCTCTCTCTCTCTCTGGTCTCTCTCTCTCTCTCTCTCTCTGGTCTCTCTCTCTCTCTGGTCGCTCTCTCTGGTCGCTCTCTCTGGTCGCTCTCTCTCTCTGGTCGCTCTCTCTCTCTCTGGTCGCGCTCTCTCTCTCTGGTCGCTCTCTCTCTCTGGTCGCTCTCTCTCTCTGGTCGCTCTCTCTCTCTGGTCGCTCTCTCTCTCTCTGGTCTCTCTCTCTCTGGTCTCTCTCTGGTCGGTCGCTCTCTCTGGTCGCTCTCTCTGGTCGCTCTCTCTGGTCGCTCTCTCTGGTCGCTCTCTCTGGTCGCTCTCTCTGGTCGCTCTCTCTGGTCGCTCTCTCTGGTCGCGCTCTCTGGTCGCGCTCTCTGGTCGCTCTCTCTGGTCGCTCTCTCTGGTCGCTCTCTCTCTGGTCGCCTCTCTCTCTCTGGTCGCTCTCTCTCTGGTCGCTCTCTCTCTGGTCGCTCTCTCTCTGGTTCGCTCTCTCTCTGGTCGCTCGCTCTCTGGTCGCTCGCTCTCTCTGGTCGCTCTCTCTCTGGTCGCTCTCTCTCTGGTCGCTCGCTCTCTGGTCGCTCGCTCTCTGGTCGCTCGCTCTCTGGTCGCTCTCTCTCTGGTCGCTCGCTCTCTGGTCGCTCTCTCTCTGGTCGCTCTTTCTCGGTCGTCCTCTCTCTCTCTGGGCTCTGGTCGCTCTCTCTCTCTCTCTGGTCGCTCTCTCTCTGGTCGCTCTCTCTCTCTCTCTCTGGTCGCTCTCTCTCTCTCTCTGGTCGCTCTCTCTCTGGTCGCTCTCTCTCTCTCTCTGGTCGCTCTCTCTCTCTCTCTCTGGTCGCTCTCTGGTCGGGCGCCCTCTCTGGTCGGGCGCCCTCTCTGGTCGGTCGCCCTCTCTGGTCGGTCGCCCTCTCTGGTCGGTCGCCCTCTCTGGTCGGTCGCCCTCTCTGGTCGGTCGCCCTCTCTGGTCGGTCGCTCTCTCTCTCTGGTCGCTCTCTCTCTCTCTGGTCGCTCTCTCTCTCTCTGGTCGCTCTCTCTCTCTCTGGTCGCTCTCTCTCTCTCTGGTCCCTCTCTCTCTGGTCCCTCTCTCTCTCTCTCTCTGGTCGCTCTCTCTCTCTCTCTCGGTCGCTCTCTCTCTCTCGGTCGCTCTCTCTCTCTCTCTGGTCGCTCTCTCTCTCTCTGGTCGCTCTCTCTCTCTCTGGTCTCTCTCTCTCTCTGGTCGCTCTCTCTCTCTCTGGTCGCTCTCTCTCTCTCTGGTCGCTCTCTCTCTCTCTGGTCCCTCTCTCTCTCTCTCTCTGGTCCCTCTCTCTCTCTCTCTCTGGTCCCTCTCTCTCTCTCTCTCTGGTCGCTCTCTCTCTCTGGTCGCTCTCTCTCTCTCTGGTCGCTCTCTCTCTCGGTCGCTCTCTCTCTCTCTCTGGTCGCTCTCTCTCTCTCTGGTCGCTCTCTCTGGTCGCTCTCTCTCTGGTCGCTCTCTCTCTGGTCGCTCTCTCTCTGGTCGCTCTCTCTCTGGTCGCTCTCTCTCTGGTCGCTCTCTCTCTGGTCGCTCTCTCTCTCTGGTCGCTTTCTCTGGTCTCTCATGGTTGAGTTTTATCTTTTTGAGTGGGAGGACTTCACCATAATTGTATAGTGTTGCCCCACTGTAAAAAAGGCAAACCAAAAACAGAGACTTGAGATAGATTCAAGATTCAAAAAATGGCATAAATTATATTCTTGGAGTGACTACATTCAGTTCATAAGTTTACATACCCCAGGTTTTATCCAGGCCGAGCTGGTACTGAAGCTCAACGCTGCTGACAACTAGTGATGCAAAGAACTTTTTAGGTTTTACATCTGTGGTATAAAAAGTTTTGTAGTTTGAAAGTCAAGCACCTCAGCATGTAATTTATAACAAAATAATATAGCCTGGTCTTACATACCATTGTACAACATTCATTTTGTACTAAGTTCTGGTTTAGCTCCATTGAGCGGTTAACTCCTTTTGCAGATTGGATCCGAGTTTGCAGTATGTACTGCACCAAAGTGAGTGAGGCATATAGCATTTAGCCTAGCTTTAGTCATCTCCTTTGCCACTAATGGAGCCCGTGGGGAGTAGAGCCACAACATCTTTGCCGTCATTGTCAAACTACACAACACCTACCTACAACACCCGCCTCCCCCGCTTGCTGAAGGGTATCCGCAGCCTCTCAGACCCAGACATACATGTAGGGACATGATAATTGACCAGAGTTTATGGATGGCTATGCCAGGCTACAAAAAATATGACTAAAAAGGACTCGTATTTCATTCAAAAGTTAAAACAAAGGTTTATGATATATGCAGAGTGAGCACGCCCCCTAGTGGCACATTCAGGCAATGTTAACAAATATATGATTTACTGCAATGAAGAGGGTCTCCCTCTCTCTCTCTGGTCTCCATCTCTCTCTCTCTCTCTCTGGTCTCCCTCTCTCTCTCTGATCTCTCTCTGGTCTACCTCACTCTCCTCTCTGGTCTACCTCACTCTCTCTGGTCTACAGTGCCTTGCGAAAATATTCGCCCCCCTTGAACCTTTCAACATTTCAGGCTTCAAACAAAGATATAACATTTACATTTTTTGTCATGAATCAACAACAAGTGGGACACAATCGTGGAGTGGAACGAAATATATTGGATAATTTAAACTTTTTTAACAAATAAAAAACTGAAAAGTGGGGCGTGCAATATTATTCGGCCCATTTACTTTCAGTGCAGCAAACTCACTCCAGAAGTTCAGTGAGGATCTTTGAATGATCCAATGTTGTCCTAAATGACTGATGATGATAAATAGAATGCACCTGTGTGTAATCAAGTCTCCGTATAAATGCACCTGCTCTTTGATAGTCTCAGGGTTCTGTTTTAAGCGCAGAGAGAGCCATGAAGACAAAGGAACACACCAGGCAGGTCCGAGATACTGTTGTGGAGAAGTTTAAAGCCGGATTTGGATACAAAAACATTTCACAAGCTTTAAACATCTCAAGGAGCACTGTGCAAGCAATTATATTGAAATGGAAGGAGTATCAGACCACTGCAAATCTACCAAGACCCAACCGTCCCTCCAAACTTTCATCTCAAACAAGGGAAGACTGATCAGAGATGCAGCCAAGAGGCCCATGATCACTCTGGATGAACTGCAGATAACGACAGCTGAGGTGGGAGAGTCTGTCCATAGGACAACAATCAGTCGTGCACTGCACAAATCTGGCCTTTATGGAAGAGTGGCAAGAAGAAAGCCATTTCTCAAAGATATCCATAAAAAGTCTTGTTTAAAGTTTGCCACAAGCCACCTGGGAGACACACCAAACATGTGGAAGAAGGTGCTCTGGTCAGATGAAACCAAAATCGAACTTTTTGGCCACAATGCAAAATGATATGTTTGGTGTAAAAGCAACACAGCTCATCAACCTGAACACACCATCCCCACTGTCAAACATGGTGGTGGCAGCATCATGGATGGGCCTGCTTTTCTTCAGCAGGGACAGGGAAGATGGCTAAAATTGATGGGAAGATGGATGGAGCCAAATACAGGACCATTCTGGAAGAAAACCTGTTGGAGTCTACAAAAGACCTGAGACTGGGACGGAGATTTATCTTCCAACAAGACAATGATCCAAAACATAAAGCCAAATCTACAATGGAATGGTTCACAAATAGACGTATCCAGGTGTTAGAATGGCCAAGTCAAAGTCCAGACCTGAATCCAATCGAGAATCTGTGGAAAGAGCTGAAGACTGCTGTTCACAAACGCTCTCCATCCAACCTCACTGAGCTCGAGCTGTTTTGCGAGAAAGAATGGACAAGAATTCCAGTCTCTTGATGTGCAAAACTGATAGAGACATACCCCAAGCGACTTGCAGCTGTAATTGCAGCAAAAGGTGGCGCTACAAAGTATCAGCGCAAGGGGGCCGAATAATATTGCACGCCCCACTTTTCAGTTTTTTATTTGTTAAAAAGTTTAAATTCTCCAATAAATTTCGTTCCACTTCACAATTGTGTCCCATTTGTTGTTTCTTGACTAAAATTTTTATTTTTATATCTATATGTTTGAAGCCTGAAATGTGGCAAAATGTTGAAAGGTTCAAGGGGGCCGAATACTTTCGCAAGGCACTGTACCTCACTCTCTCTGGTCTCCCTCCCTCTCTCTCTGTGCTCTCTATCTCTCTCTCTCTCTCTATGGTCTCTCTCTATGGGTCTCTCTCTATGGGTCTCTCTCTCTATCGCCTATCTCTCTCTATCGTCTATCTCTATGGTCTTTCTCTCTCTGTGGTCTCTCTCTCTCTCTGGTCTCACCCGTCGGCCTGAGTGCGGATCTCGTGGACTGTAAATCGCTGGCGTCCGATGGCCTTGACCTTCACCGTCTCGATGCCGTACTCCTGCTCCTCTCTGTAGGCGTAGATCTCTGCTGTAGTCCCGAACATCGCCTCAGACTCAGCTTCTCCAGCCGCACTGACCACAATGACACATTACAGGTTCAAACAAACTCACAGACCATAAAGACACACTCGGGGCTCGGGACAAATGTGTTGGGAAACGGGTGGTACCTACGTGTTTGCGAGCACAGCAAAGGTTCTGTCCCTGAGGACCAGGGCCCTCATGGCGCTGACCTCCTGAGGTCTGAACAGCTGCAGGGGGAGAGTCTGACCCGGGACCAGCATGAGCGAGGCCTGAGGCAGCACCGGCATTGTCTGACAGCTGTCGTCATCCAGAACCGTCCGACCCGTGAACTCTTCCATGTCCGAGCCTAGGTACTGAGAGAAGCACAGGGAATGAGCACAGGTACTGAGCCTGAGAGAACCACAGCTCCTGAGCCAGAGAGAAACACAGGTACTAAGCAAGTGAGAAACACAGGTACTGATCCAGCGAAAAGCACAGGTACGGAGCATAGGGACTGCAGTGTGAACAAAGCGCTTTAATGATCTTGCATACATACTTTAACTTGTGTCACGTGTTTGACTTGTGTTAAGTGGGAGCTTAAGTGACTTACAGCGTGTGACGTCGGGAGACTGGGGTCAAACGTGATGGTGCTCGGCTTCTCTGGATCCTCGCTGTCTCTGTCCTCTGTCTCCATCTCATCTTCATCCTCCTCGTCTTCCTCATTATCTGAGAAAAGAAATACACTCACAGATCAACGCACACAACGCTCTGTGGCCTTGATTCTGCTGTTAAAGCAAAAGCAAAACAAGACGAAAGAGAACGTGGCCATGTCTTGAATCGATGATTGTGGCGTCTCTCTCTCTGGTCTCTCTCGCTCTCTGTCTCTGTTCTCTCTCTGTGGTCTCCCTCTCTCTCTCTCTGCACGAACATAACACAGCATACAATTACTTTGTATTGGGACTTAGCTCCCTGTGTGTTCTGTCGAAGCTGTCCGCTATTTGTGCAAAAACGAAAGTAAAATGAAGTGTTAAAGCTAAAGCCTATGCGCAGTGGTCTGTTGTTGACAGTTTTAGACACAGAGACCTTCATGCAGGAGGCCTTTGGTGTGAACGCTGACATGGTGTTGGTGGTTCTGTGGCTAGTACCTGGCAGGAGCTGCAGCTGATTCCCCATGTTGTCGTTTATGTCGTGTTCCTCCTCCGCCATAGCCTCAATGTTTACAATGCGCACACTTCCTCTGTAAGTGCGGGAGGTGTAGCGCCTCCTGGTGGCCTGAGTGCGCACTAACACATATACGGATCCGTTTTGTTTTTATCATCTGTGATTCTGCATCAGCCTCTGTCGGCTACATTCACTGCTACATGACAGATGACTGTGCATGTCAGTCTCACGGAGGAAGTTTCAGATCTAAAATGAGACTTTGAGGACTCTGACAGCTGATGAGTAGGTGGCAGCGGTCACTTGAGATACTCAAATATGTCACTTGTAACAGATGCAAATTTAGTGTCATGTAACCGATCCTCACTTGATGCACTTTCAGTCCATAATATAAAACAGTAATGCAGAGGTCCTACTTCTCACCGAGTTATTTGTTGCTCCTGATGCAGGAGGCTCAAAGGACAGTTATTGTCCTTGACACATTCACTTATGGCGGTTTGTGACTTTCCTTTGATTCTCTGCGCTGAGTTTGAATAAGTGGATGAATACTGATGTAATTAAAAGGGCAGCACAATTTAAAGACTGAACCTTTACAATACTTAACCTGAATTAAGTTTAACGAAGTAGCTATTACCTTTACTGTACAGACAATTGACTTAATTATATCAAATGATCCCAGTTTGACAGGAATTCTTATGTTGAGACCTATCCTAATGACCAAGAGGACTACAGCAATCATGAAAGAGCAGCAAACGCATGACCATTTAAGAACATGTTCCATTTATTGTTCAAAACACAGTCAACAGAGCAATAACTTTATGGTCCATGAAGAGTCCAGCTGGAGTGAGATGTCACAGGTCTTAGTCCTCCAGATCTTCCATCGTCTGGAACACAGGGTTTCTCTGAAGAAGCCCAATCCTCAGGGCTCCACAGCAGCCTCTGGACAGGACTCAAGGGGCAAAGGAGGGAGGGCTTACTTGGACCTCTGCCTCATCTTTCTCCTTTTACGCTTCAGCCTGGAAGTAAAAAAAAATAAAACAGGATGAGCATTGAAACATTACAGAATTTCTAAGTCCATGCTAGTCATGCTTTACACTAAAGCTTTGGCAAATTGCTTCCAGTTTTGGTCAAGTCTAAAATCTGGAACAATCTTAATCAAAGTGTGAGGCCTCTGACAATATAAAAAGCTTAATGTACTGTGATTTATGATTTTAATGCCATCTTATTTTGTTCAGCACCTTGAGCTTCCTCGAGAATTGTCCTATGCAAATAAACTTTCCTAGCGGTTGAGCTGCCCTGCACATTATATTTAAATGATTGCACCTATTTGATGATGAGCTGCTGAAAATCAACTTAGAAGACTAATCAAATTCTTAATAGAAAATCCAGTTTGTTCAGGACATCTGGTCGTGTAGTCAGTTCAATAATGAAACGAGCATGGCCTTATGCTAGTAAACAAGCTTACCTGCGCATACGCTTCTTCCTCCACTGCAAAATAAGAGACAAGTTTACATAGAATATTAAAGCATTAGGTGGACATTGCAAATAGTTGAAAGCATGAATATTTCGACCAGAGTTCAAAATGAATCTTCAGCAGAAATGCGCATTGCCTGTATGTTGCTAAGCTAGAGGCGTGCAGCCTCAGACATGGTTCGGCACAATTTCAATCTTTAACAGCAGTTTATATGGAATAACACACTGAAATGACCAAAACTAAAAAGCAAGCATACAAAAAATGTTAAACTAGAAGTTGAAAGACAAAAAAAAACGTGGCAAATTTCAGCATTGTTCTACGTTAGCATAGCATGTTAGCATACAGGGGTGTAGACAGACAACGTTTTTTTTCCCTTGTTCTTACCTTGGCTCTCATCGTGGGGAGAGAATTCTGTAAAACAAGACAAAGGCAGTTGTTAGTAATGGTAGATGATTGTAAAATTAGCAGGATTGGTTTGGATTGTGCGGTGATGGTTACGATTGCTCACCTCAAAGCGACAAGAGGCAGGGAAAGAGGATGTGACGAAGGAGGAAGGCGGAATTTATACAGATCCTGAGAGTCACGTGGTTGCCATTTGTTTCGCGGGCTGCTGGGAAATGTAGGAGAGAGAGAGAGAGAGAGAGAGAGAGAGAGAGAGAGAGAGAGAGAGCGAGATGGATAGATAGATGGATAGATAGATATAGAAAGATAGCAGCATTTTATTTATTTCAAATACGATTTTTATTAATTTGATTAAAAATATTCAAAGTGGCACATTTATTTAGTACAATCCGAAATGGCAGCGTTTCAGATTCATGTAGCTAAAATCTGGAACAGTCTTCCTGAAAATGTGAGACAGCCTTCCATGTTCAAATCCAGGTTAAACAGTTCTGTTTATCTTTTTGTAGTATCAGCTATTTGTACATGTTTAGTTTTATATGTCTATATGCACACCATTGTGTTGTGACATTTGAGCCAATTGCCGACTACTGACCCTTCTCTGGGGGTCATGAGACCGACTCTACGTCTATAAAGGGAAATGGCAGGCCTCATATGAATCAGAATCAGAATCATTTTTATTGCCACGTAAGTAACAGGAGGTCACAGACTTGGACATTGCTTTGGCTCAGTGCAACAGTCAGAAAGAGATAATAAAAATAAGAATAAAAAACACTTCTAAAGAATACATTTAAATTTAAAATAGAGTTACAGTTACTATTTACAGTATACAAGTGCACATGGTGCACACAATGTAAGGTGACAGCAGTACAGTGAAGTCAAGTGACGTATGATGGGCAGTAAAGTGACTTTATAAAGGGCGGGGGGACAGGTTAAGAAGTGTTCAAGAGTCCAACAGCAGAGGGGAAGAAACTGTTCTTGTGGCGGGAGGTTCTAGTCCTGATGGACCGCAGCCTCCTGCCTGAGGGGAGTGGTTGGAATAGTCCATGTGCAGGGTGAGAGGGGTCGGCTGTGATACGACCAGCCCGGCCTCGAGCTCGGGCGACGTACAGGTCCTGCAGCGATGGAAGGCTGCGGCCGATCACTTCCTCTGCAGAGCGCACAATGCGCTGTAGTCTCTGTTTGTCCCTGACTGTGGCTCCAGCGAACCACACGGTGATGGAGGAGGTGAGGATGGACTCGATGATGGCCGTGTAGAACTGCACCAACATCTGTGCAGGCAGCTGGGCATATGGGACCCTCATGTGAGACCGTACACATGAGGGTCATGTGCTGCAGATGAACATCTTATGAATACATGTGTTTATCCTTTCACCACTGTAAATTATTGTTATTGTTCTTAGTCACTTTGATAGATTCTTTATTGATCCCCATTCCTCCAGTGGATCTTCGCCTGATCCGCTTGTTTTGGACCATGAATCCTCTTCTGTCAGGATCATTGTAAAACCATGGACAATTTTCTGCAGCAACATCTCAGGTAGAAAAAATACAATTGTAAAGCAAAATTAAAGCCGCAAGCGGCGTCGAACGGCCCTCGCCACACCGCGCGACACCCCGCACCAAGCGCCTTGCCGCTCCGCTACGACTCCCCGCTCCGCTACGACTCCCCGCTCCGCTACGACTCCCCACTCCGCTACGACTCCCTGCACCGCGCGCTTCTACGACTCTCCGTTCCGCTACGACTCCCTGCACCGCTACGACTCTCCGCAGCGCTACGACTCCCCGCAGCACTACGACTCCCCGCAGCACTACGACTCCCCGCACCGCTACGATTCCCCGTACCGCGCAACTCGCCGCAACTCGCCACAACTCCCCTCCCCGTGACTCCGCGCGTGACTCGCCGCTCCGCAGGTGGCGCCGCCGCGCCGCACCATGATTTGCTACCATAGCCATAGACCAATGTATGTGATATTGATCCATTGGTTTGGCTCCCCATGTAAAGCTTTAGCTCGGTGTGTAGGGGGCGCTAAAGAGCCATTGTAATATTTTACACCTTCAGGTGACCCAGGCCCAGGAGTAGAACAACCGGGTCAAGTTTAGTACAAATCAAACTTTGTTTGTGCAAATGAGAGCTATTTTTCTATCGTCAAAAAAGGTCACTATTTGCCGCTCCACTGCTCGAACATTGTTTCCCTGATAAAAATTCCCTGAAGTCATTTTGAAGGTAAATGTGTTGAAATGATGTGGAGCAATTTTCAGGCGAATCTGTGAAACGGCCGAGGAGGAGTCGCTTCCCAAACGACATGTGTGAAAATTATTGCTGTTCGTTTATCCATTTTACAGGGAAATTTATGGGCTCCCTGTCAGTCAGAGGGCGGGGCCATAATAAAAAAATTTTCATGTCTTACCTTGAGGAATATGTGTACCAAATTTCATGGCTCTACGGCAAACTTGAACGCCAAAACTCTCATAGGAGTATTAAATTGGCTGTTGTAGGGGGCGCTGTTCTGGCATTTTAATTATTTCACTTTCAAATGACCTACACCCTAGAGTTTAACCATGAAAACAAGTTTTGTGCAAATCGGACTTTGTTTGAGTAAACGGAAGTAATTTTTCTATAGTCAAAAACTAAAAAAAAACGCCACTTTTTGGCGCTTCGCTGCTCAAACAACGTTTCACTGATCAAAAATCGCTGAAATCAAAAGGATGGTACATGTGTTTAGAGACGATGTGGAGCGATTTTAAGGCAAATCAGTGAAAAGGCCGAGGAGGAGTCGCTTTCCAACCAACATGTGTGAAAATGACATTCTGTAGGGGGCGCTAATGCCTCAATTTGATGTTTTACACTTTCAGTTTACCCAAACCCAAAAGTTGAACAACCAATTCAAATTTGGTGCAAATCGGACTTTGTATGTGCAAATGGTGGCTTTATTAGACTACAATTGCGCCCCCTACAACTTCAAATGTGAAGTCTCTTACTAGGGAACACAAAATTAATAAAGTGTTTGCAAGAACAGAACTTGTGGCAAAATTTTGTAAGTTTTCGTGCATGTTCAGTGGGTCAAATATGACATCAAACAACAGCAAACTTGTTCTTTCCCAGATTTCCTGGGCTAGAACAAGTATAATTAAAGCCGCAAGCGGCGTCGAACGGCCCTCGCCGCACCGCGCGACTCCCTGCACCGCGCGCACTCCCCGCACCACGCCGCCCTGCACCACGCCGTCCCGCACCACGCCGTCCCGCACCACGCCGTCCCGCACCACGCCGTCCCGCACCACGCCGTCCCGTACCAAGCCGCAACGCGCCGCTCCACAACGCCCCGCACTACGCCGCACCACACCGTACCACGCAGCACCGCTCAAAGGAGGTGGCGCCGCCGTGTGATGATTTGTTCCCGTAGTCATAGAAGATTGTTAGTCAAATTTGAATGAATATGATAAGTAGAGCTGGTTTGGCTCCCGATGTAAACTTTGGCTCAGTCTTTAGGGGGCGCTAATGGGCCAATTTCAAATATTTCACTTTCACCTGACCTAAACCCTGGAGTTGAACAATGGATTCAAGTTTAATGCAAATCAGACTTTGTTTGTGCAAACGGGAAAAAATTAATGTTGTCAAAAACGGCCAAAAAAACCCTCACATTTTGCCGCTTCGCTGCTCAAACAACGTTTCACTGATCAAAATTCCCTGAAGTCATTTTGAAGGTAAATGTGTTGAGATGATTTGGAACAATTTTGAGGCCAATCGGTGAAACGGCCGAGGAGGAGTCGCTTTCCAACCGACATGTATGAAAATGATTATTTTTCATTTTTCCATTTTGCAGTGAAATTTATGGGCTTTCTGTTTGTCAGAGGGCTTAGCCATAATAAAACAAGTTCAATGTCTTGACTTGAGGAACATGTGTTCCAAATTACATGGTTCTATGACAATTTTGACCTCGAACCCCTCCCATAGGCATTTTTAAATCGGCTGTTGTAGGTGGCGCTATAGAGCCAATTTCAAAATTTTAACTTTCAAATGACCTAGACCCAAGAGTTGAACCATGGATTTAAGTTTTGTGCAAATCAGACTTTGTTTGTCCAAACGGAAGCCATTTTTCTATTGTCAAAAACTGAAAAAAAATACGCCACTATTTGCCGCTCCGCTGCTCAAACAACGTTTCACTGATCATAAATCCCTGAGGTCATTTTGACGGTACATGTGTTGAGATGATGTGGAGCGATTTTGAGGCGAATAGGTGAAACGGCCGAGGCTAGTTTGATGTTTGTGTGAGGTGTACATTTGCAATGAATCTGGAGCGTTTTGTCGTCGCCACGGCAACAGGGTAAAAAATAAGCCTTGGACCCTATTGACTTTTTGAATCAAGAGTGCAAAACAGATTTATGTGCAAAATTTCAAACATTTTGAAAAAACTAAATTTGAAAATGCCCATCTAAAACTTTGAAATAGTCTGTAGGGGGCGCTAATGTGTCAATGTGAATCATTTAACTTTCAAATGACCTAGACCCTAAAGTTGAACAATGTATTAAAGTTTTGTGCAAATCAGACTTTGTTTGTGCAAACGGGAGCAAATTTAATGTTGTCAAAAACGGCCAAAAAAAGGTCACATTTTGCCGCTCCGCTGCTCAAACAATGTTTCACTGATCAAAAATCCCTGAGGTCATTTTGAAGGTACATGTGTTGAGATGATGTGGAGCGATTTTGAGGCGAATCGGTGAAACGGCCGAGGAGGAGTCGCTTTCCAACCGACATGTATGAAAACTTTTGCTGTTCATTTTTCCATTTTGCAGTGAAATTTATGGGCTTCCTGTTTGTCAGAGGGCGGAGCCATAATAATATTTTTTTCATGTCTTGACTCAAGGAACATGTGTACCAAATCTCATGTTTCTACGACAAACTTGACCTCCAAAAAGTCCCATAGGGGTATTATTTTGGCTGTTGTAGGTGGCGCTGTTCTGGCATTTTTTGAGTCCCATAAAAATAAACACCAAAATATCAA